GGATTTGGACCAACTGGGTCTTGCTTTTTGTTTCAGGGTCCTTCACTGCCAGGACCACCCGTAAGTGCTGCGTACGTGGGGCTGGGGTGGGCCGGCAGGGACCTACTTGGAGCTGTGCTGGAAGAGCTCAGACCTCAGCACCCCACAGCAGGGGGCTCAGGGCTCAGCCTCTGTAGCTTGGTGAACTCCTGTCTTCTCTTTAAGGGACTTCCAGGCCAGGTTGGGCTGCCCGGAGAGATCGGAGCACTGGGACCCAAGGTAGGGGGCAGGAGCGGGCACGGGAAAACCTCCCCTCCTTGCATCAGCATCCACCTCTCTGCACTTCATAGCTCCTGGCTATATGAAGGACATGGGAGAGTGGGGTCCTACAGTGGGAATAGGGGGTGATGGAGCAGCCGGGTCTGCTGGTGCCCCCCATCCGCTCCCAGCTCATGGCCAGGGGATGCCCCAGTTCCCACTGCGGATCCCTGGTGCTCCATCACCCCCCTCCATCAGTACCTGCTGCCTCCCCACCCCTACATCTCCTCACTTGGGGCTGTTCTTTCGCAGGGTGACCCTGGACCCGACGGCCCGCGGGGTCCCCCAGGTCCTCCAGGGAAACCCGTGAGTATCTCCCCAGTCACCAGCACTGGCTGCAGAGGGAGAAGCTCCCACCGGGCTCAGCCCAGTGCTTGGGGCTGGGGCTCGTGCCCTGGCACACACCTCCCCGTGCCCGCTCCCTCCCTCCAGAGATAGCATTCACCCCTCCTGTGAATCAGTGCTGATCTTACATCGTGGATGCTGATGGTCTCCTTCCCTCCAGGGCCCCCCAGGTCACATCCAAGGAGTGGAGGAAGGCAGTGCTGATTTCTTGGTGAGAGCTGCCATTGCCTTGTCCCTTCCACAGGGCTTTGCAGGGTAGTGACTGCTGGAAAAGCTCTGGCCTGAAATGCAGCCACCAGTGGCACTGGGTGACTGGGGGCTGATGGAGCGGGAGGAGCAGGGTTCCCAGCCAAGGCCACGCTGCGAGTGGAGGGTCCCCTGTGTCACCGCACAGCCCGGCTGTGGCACAGGGGCCCATCCATCCAGCACATCTTTGTGACCGCTGGGTCCTTTCCCAACTCAACCTGTGCCGCTTCTTCCCACCAGTGCCCAACCAGCTGCCCCCCAGGTCCTAAAGGCCCCCAGGGACTGCAGGGACTGAAGGTAAGGGAGCCCTGGAGCTGCCAGGGAGTGAGCGAGGACTCTCACCTCCAGCGTGCTGAGCAGAGGAGCCTTCCCTGCTCTGGGGGCATGGGGAGCTCGGGAGCTGCCTTGCTCCCCTGGGAGCATGAGGACATGCACACACAGAGCCCTGGAGGCAAAGGTGCTATGGGAGAGATCCCCTCCAATTCCATCCAGCCCCTTCCTGGGGGAGAGACCCCTTCCCAAAGCCCCAGCCCTGCTGCTGCCCAGCTCCCTGGGCTGGAAACCCAGAGGGTTAAACCCAGTGAGCATCCCCACTGCGTGCTCTTGACTGCGGGATGCTGAGCCCCACACCTCACACCTGACCAGAGGGATGCTGAGCCCCACACCTCACACCTCACCAGAGGGATGCTGAGCCTCACACCTCACCAGAGGGATGCTGAGCCCCACACCTCACCAGCGGGCACCCCAGGGTGGGATATCATGGGCACTGTGGCTCCAGGTGATGTGGCCATCAAGATGTGGCCTCAACCCTGCTGCTCTGCCCAGGGATGCTCAAGATCTTCCTCTTCATCCTTAGGGACACAGAGGCCGCCCCGGTGCCCTTGGGGAGCCCGGCAGGCAGGGCGGGCAGGTGAGAGACCTCTCCGACAGCTTCCCAGCAGGAACCAGGAACGCCTGCCTCTGGGAATGGACCAGAGGGCAGGGGCTCTGGGGAGAGAAGGGGGGAAAGAAGGAAAGCCATGGGAGCGGGAGGAGGGAGATCAGGGCTGGGACATGGAGGGTGGACAGGGTGGTCTTCCCATGGTGGCTTCCTGGATGGGGACACCCTAATGGGTCCCAGGCAAGGGGGTTGTGGATCTCCAGGGTGGTTTGTACCCCTGCTGCACCCCAACACTCACCTCTCTCTTCTCCATTCCTTGCCAGGGCCCCAAGGGTGATGTTGGTGTCTCTGGAGAACAAGGCATCCCAGGCCCCCCGGTAACATCCTTCTCTTTGCTGCTCTGCTTGGTCTGTGCTTGGCCCCAGACACTGGGGGTGACACTAGAGTGTCTCCACTCCTGGGGACCCACCGCTTCATCCCATCCACCTCCCTCCTCCCACCATGGAGCTGCCACCAGGAGGGTGGCAAAGCCATATCCCAATGGAGACCCCCCCCCAGTTAGCACACGTTAACACGGATAACTCAACATCCAGGGATAAATCTCTCCTGTACAGAGCCCTCCTTACCCCTCCTGATCGGGGGGTGCTGCATCCAGCTCACTGCAGGGACATGGGGATTAAAGCTGTTTGCTCACACTGAGCACTTTGAAGATGAAAAGCAATTAATGGGCTGAACCCTGTGGTCTGGGAAAGGGCAAAACTGCTTTGAAGCCAAGAGCTTTGGCAGGGGAAGTGGCACCGGTTTGGGCTCGTTGCTGTCATTGAAGCGACAACTGGAAAGGTGCCTGGTGGGGGGCTGCAGAATTAGGGGACTGAAACACCTCCATTTGGCAAAACCAGCTGGCTTCCAGAACCGGCTTCTGCTCTAATTGCAGCTCCCCTGGGCTGCTCCTGGGGCCATTCCCAGCTCAACTGCCTGTTGTTTCCTTCCCCACAGGGACCACAGGGCTTGAGGGGTTACCCTGGCATGGCAGGACCCAAGGGCGAGGCGGTAAGTGCCTGGCTCCGGGGCCAGGGGCACCAGCTCCCATGTTCATGCTTCCCAGGAGCATCACTAACACTTCCCAGGAGCATCGCTAACACTGCCTGGCCATCTTGGGGAGCTGGATGCTGCCTCTGGCTAGTGGGACCAGACCTGGCTGGGCACCGTGTCTGGGATGGGAGGAATTGACCCTCTGGTGCTCTCCTTGCAGGGTCCTGCTGGATACAAGGGGATGGTCGGGACCATCGGCGCGGCTGGGCGGCCGGTGAGTGCCCTCCCTTGTCAGGAGGGGCCATGGGGCAGGCAGGAGACCCCACACTTCACTGCTCAGCCCCTGTCTTTCTCCCCTTCAGGGCAGGGAAGGCCCCAAAGGACCACCCGGGGACCCTGGCGAGAAGGGGGAGCTGGTAGGTGTCCCATCTCATTGGGCACAGCAGTGCCATGCCCCGTGCGATGCCAATACCCCTTCTCCCTGGCATGGAGAGGGGCCCTCAATGGGCATCTCCTCCCTCTCCCAGCTCCATCCCTTGCACCAAGAGGGCAGCTGAAATGACACTTTGCTCTCTCCTGCTCTAGGGTGGCCGTGGAATCAGGGGCCCCCAAGGAGACATCGGTCCCAAGGGGGAGAATGTAAGTAGAGCCAGTGGCACCCGTACCCACATCCAGGGCTGAGCCCCTTGCAAGGGCAGCTCTCTGTCCTGTTCAGGGCTATCCTGCATCCTTGCACCTTGGCTCAGCACAGGCCTGGAGCTTTCCTTTCCCTTCTCAGCCTTTTTTGCCCCCACCACAAGTCTTTGAGTCCCTCTTGGAGGTGCCAGACCAAGCAACTCCTCCCCCTTTTGCAGGGTCTCCCAGGCATCGATGGCAAAGACGGGACCCCGGGGATCCCAGGAGTGAAGGTGAGCTGCTGCGGGCAGGGGCTGTGCCGGCAATGGGCAACAGACACCCAGTCATAGAACGGTTTGTGTTGAAGGCACCTTGAAGCTCCTCCAGCTCCAACCCCTGCCACGGGCAGGGACACCTTCCACTAGAGCAGGTTGCTGCTCCTCGTGCCAACGCTTGCCAGAAATAATAGACATGGCAAGTGGCACAAGGTCCCAGCACTCGACGTGGCATCTCCTGGCTAGTGGACCCCCATCCCCGCAGGGTCAAGGCGGTGTCCCGCTTTGGCCAGGATTCCCCTGTCCCACCCATGGACACCTCATTGCTGCACCTTTCTCTGCCATGGAGTGACATCCTGTGTCCCTCACAGGGCAGCACGGGACAGGCCGGACGCCCAGGAATACCGGGACACCGGGGACAAGCTGTGAGTAGGGGACTGCGGCACCTCGGGCAGGTCCCCGTTACCATGGGGTGGCCCCCTCATGCCCAGGCAGTGCTGGCACCCTGCAAGGATGCTGCTCCCATCGCTCTGCACGGGTTCAGTCCTGGCTTTGTCTCCACAGGGCTTGCCAGGCCAGCCGGGAAGCAAAGGTGGCCCAGGAGACAAGGTGGGTCTGGGGCAGCAGAGCTGCAGTAAACCCCTTGGACCATCCACGCTGCCGCCCCACTCACCCTACAGAGTGCTGCAGCAGCCTCCATGCTCCACCGCTGAGCCCACAGCCGTGCCCCTGTGCCATCCTGTCCCTGACCTCCTCTGTCTCACTCCGCAGGGTGAAGTGGGTGCTCGGGGCCAGCCCGGTGCCACCGGTGCCCCAGGGCAGATCGTAAGTACAGAGATGTCACCGTTTTCCTCCCGGGCACAGCCTGCCCGTCGCTCTCCTTCTCTCTCCTCTTCTTTTTCCCCCATTTGCTGTCAAACAGGAAGCAGAGTTGGGTGTTTTATCCCCAAAACCCTCCTCTTCCCTCTGCCCACAGCAGTATCCTCATGGGGAAGCCCCTGGGGCCACATCCCCAGCCCCGGTCTAGCACCTCCTTGGCCCCCCTGTGCAGTGGCAGCAGGGGACAAGGACAGGGCCACACATCCCCGGGGAAGGAAGAGGGGCAGATATGACATAGCAGTGCAAGAGAGCAGCTCCTTTGGGAGCTTTCTTTCTCCCTCCTAGGGTGAGCCTGGACCTCGCGGCGAGCAGGGGCCACCGGGTGTGCCCGGGGTGAAGGTGGGTCCCTGGGGCACTGTGGGGTTCGGGGCAGTGCCAGGAGCTGCTCCTGACTCCGCTCCCCTCCCGGGTCTCCACAGGGTGACCGGGGAGAACGTGGCCCCGTGGGTCCCGCCGGTGATCAGGGGAACGCGGTGAGTTGTGCCCAGGGCTGGGCTGGGAATTGGGCTTCCCTTTGGCAGGGCTCAGGGATGCTCAGGGTGTGAGGCTGGGGAAAGGCCGGTGCTCCACACTTCCACAGAGTCCCACTCTGGTCTGGGCTGGAAGGAACCTCAAAGCTCATCCAGCTCCAACCCCTGCCACGGGCAGGGACACCTTCCACTAGAGCAGGTTGCTCCAAGCCCCATCCAGCCTGGCCTTGAACACTTAATGATGTTCCTTGGGCAAAATTTGGTTCCCCTTAAAGTCGAGGGCTAAATTCCCACTGAATTGAAGGTGAAATAGTGGCAAATGTGCTGCTTCTTTCAATGGGAAGCATCAGGGCAGGCTGGGATGCTGAGGAGCAGCCTGAGCTGCTGGAGGGGGTGGGGAGCTGCCAAGGCATCTCATTCCCTTGGGAAGGATGCTCTGACAGGGGAGGAAGGTCTTACCACCACCTCTTTTCACACATTTTTCTCTTTTTCCTGTGTTACCTTGATTTCCAGGGGCCAAAGGGCGAGCAGGGTCCGCCGGGGATCCCAGGGCCCCAAGGCTTGCCAGGAGTCAAAGGAGACAAGGTGACTGCTCCTGACTGCAGGGGACGGGCTGCCCTGGGCTCCAGCTCAGGGACACTGCATTGACCCCCTGCTTCTCCTTTCTCCAGGGCTCCCCAGGGAAAACCGGCCTGAAAGGCAGCACTGTGAGTACAGCACCCTCCTGCCCGGGCTGGGGACACTGACACTGTGTTGGACAGGGCTGGCACCCACCTCTGCGGGGGGCTGGCACCCACCGGCACCAGGCGCTTTCTCCATCAATAGCCCAGCATCCTGGTCAAGTTCTTGGTGGAAGGAGGGGTGAAAGCGGCTGCGGAGGGGGTGGGTGCTGGTATTTCTCCATTGTCTTTCCTCCAGGGAGATCCTGGTGTTCATGGACTTGCAGGGCTGAAGGGAGAGAAGGTGGGTTCCTGCACATGGTTCCTGGGATGGAGTGGATGGATATGGGGTGGATGTGGGTCTCCCGCCCAGCATGGCCCCTGACACAGCAGCATTGCATCCCAGTGTGCTCCATGGGGGTACATATGTCTCCCCCTAAGCTGTGCCTCTAAATTCGTGCTGTCTCCCCACCTCATTTCTTCTGTTCTGTCCCCAGGGTGAATCAGGAGAGCCAGGACCGAAGGGACAGGTGAGTGATGGGGACTCAGGACCAACCTGTACCTTCATACTGGGCGGCTCTGTGGGACCCTCAGTGGAGGAGATCCTCCTGATGAAGGCAGCAGTGATCCACGGAGCTGGCGCGTGCTGCTCACTGGTGGCCTGAGGAAGTGTTTTCTCTGGAGATGGGCTTCAGTAACCACGTTGAGCCCTGGGTTCAAGTTCAGACCCTGCCTAGGGCCAGACCTCAGCTGTGCTGGTTGATACTGGGAGTTCTCAGGGTCTCGGCACAGGGCTGAGCTCCACT